GCACCCCATAATCAAAATGCCACAACTGAGAAGTCCCTGTCTCCTGTTCTCACCCACCTTGCTCCTGAAGACGGGGCCACACTGAGTAGGGCCTCTGATGCGGATTGTAATAGTTGGCTGGCTTTGCATAGGAGCAAATGGTTCTTCCAGGAAGCAGATCCCAAGTAATGTCAGGCTTCATAGATCAAAGTTAGCACTTTTGAGTTGTGTTTTGAAACAAGCCAGAAGCCCCTCTGTCACCTTTCTTCTCCCATCCTCCTGCTTCACAGGCTTGTGGTTGGAGCCAGTTCACACATGCTGCAGCACCTGGTATAGACAGTTTTTTGGGGTTCATATTACTTCAGGATGCAAACTGATAATTACAGGTTTGAATAATCCCCCATCAAAAAACCAAACTGAACAAAACTCTCATTGTTTCAAAAAGTAGCATAGCAGAAAGAAGAGTAACCTGCAGGATCAGGCCAATTGCCATCTTGTTTAGCATGTTATTCTCACAATGGCTCAATCTAGAATATTTGACCTCTTAGCTTTCCGTGGACCAGAAGCTGTTTGGGTGAGCAGGGCAGATTCAAATGCTGTATGCACTAGGGAGCCTATACCGTAAGTTATCCCTTAACTTGTAAATCACATTTTAGTGGAAAAAATAGGTACTGTGATGCCATCATGAAATGATGACCATCCTCAAGAAATGGCTACAGCTCTCCCCATGGCTAGGCTTTATTTATATAGAATCATAGAATCATAGAGTTGGAAGAGACCACAAGGGCCATCGAGTCCGACCCCCTGCCAAGCAGGAAACACCATCAGAGCACTCCTGACATATGGTTGTCAAGCCTCTGCTTAAAGACCTCCAAAGAAGGAGACTCCACCACACTCCTTGGCAGCAAATTCCACTGTCGAACAGCTCTTACTGTCAGGAAGTTCTTCCTAATGTTTAGGTGGAATCTTCTTTCTTGTAGTTTGGATCCATTGCTCCGTGTCCGCTTCTCTGGAGCAGCAGAAAACAACCTTTCTCCCTCCTCTATGTGACATCCTTTTATATATTTGAACATGGCTATCATATCACCCCTTAACCTCCTCTTCTCCAGGCTAAACATGTCCAGCTCTCTTAGCCGTTCCTCATAAGGCATCGTTTCCAGGCCTTTGACCATTTTGGTTGCCCTCCTCTGGACACGTTCCAGTTTGTCAGTGTCCTTCTTGAACTGTGGTGCCCAGATTAACATTAATATGTTAATTGACAGCAGCATTTTGATATTATGCAATAGGATGAACATGAGAGGGCTGAACAGCTGTAAACTCTCTGTGGGTGGGGTACAGTTCATGTCTCTCTTGGAACCAGAAGGCTTATTCAACACTGTGGTTTCCATCCCTTGATCATAGCTTTCCTTTCTCCAAGACTGTATTCTCTCTCTTGAGCTGACCTGAAGGAAGCATCGCCTGATAATTATGTATCCTAGCCCTTATACTGGTTCTTCTCAGCACTACTGGTACCCAGATTTGTTCAGTAGCTCATCCAGAGAGGACTAAGCCTCTTTTGTGGTGTTCTCTTGGCTGTGGTCCGAGAGAAAAAGCATCACAACCCCTGTATCCCATCCTGAGAACTGAAATTGTCCTGTTGGAATCTCCTCATCCTTTGCACAATAAGACTCTTTGTAGGAACTTCTCACAGTCTGGAACACAGCGAGGAGGAAGTCCCTTTCAAATGCCAGCAGGCCTTCCAGCTTGAGGGTTTGTTAGGTGGCTTGTGAGAGGCCTTTGACACAGGCATTGATGGGCCCAAGGCCTTTCCTTCCTGTCTAAATGGGCAGGATAGATTACCTTCCCTCCTCTTGCTTTCATGGTTGCAGGAAGCGGCTTAGAAGTACCTATTCCATTCTCCCCAGCGGTGCTCTTGTTAACCTTATGCTCTCTTGCTCTGCCCTCACGCTTGACAGCAGAGCTTTTTCTGGGACCCTGTTGCTCAACAAAAGAAAGGAAGATCTGACCTCTTTTCTCATATCTCCCAAGTGGCTGGTACATACAAAACAAACACTGGGTAAATATAAAATCACAAAATCCATCCGAAAATACAATGCCCACAAGCATTAATAGTTTGTCAAACAATCTACATAGCAGATAATGCCAGTGCAAAAAAAGAACACTGACAAGTCCTGTCTCTATAATAATTTTTTACCTGTTTACTAAAACTCACAAAGTCAGGCTCAAGCAAGGAGGTGTTACTTACAAATGCCTCAGGTTCTGCTTTTTCATTAATTAACAGCAAGAAAGAGTGGGTACAGTGTTCTGTTAAGAAGGTGCTATGGCTTTGAGTGCCCAGTGACTTGTGTTTTGAACTAAGACTGGATGGGAGGGGAAAATTGTGGAAGAGTGAGCTGCCCAAGGCAATCCTACATGGCAGCAGGGTTCTGACTCTGCTTACAGGAAATCTCTCAAGAGGCCTAGGAACTGGCACAGGATTTGTGTTAGTTGTAGCACTCTATACTGCAGGTGGGGGGTGGGAGGCTGAGAAGGAGGCAGCCCAGGTCCTCATTCTGAGGGGGGAGACAAGGCTGAGCTACAGGAAGAGGAGGAGGAAGAACTGGTCACATGTTAACCCCTAACCTCCATTTCTGAAATGAAGGGAAGGAGAATCTAAGGGGACCAAAAGGGGAGCCAGGGCAGAAGCAACATCTAAGCCACCCCAACTGGACTAGCCCCTGAGAATTTAGGCCATCCTGGTTAGATAGCACAGCTTCCAGGGTTCACTGGCAGTAGTCTTGACCATGAATGCCCAAAGCCATTGCTTGCTGTTGTTGGCATCCAAGCATCATGTAGGTATTTTTCCTGACTTTGTTGGAGAGGTTTAAATTCAAATCAAGAAGCAAAGCGAGTTGCTTTCTCTGAGATGCATCTTTGCACTTAATTAGCGATGAGGCTCTCCCTGTAATTAGGAATGAGTCTGTCCCTGTAATATTCCCTTTTGCCCATCTGGTTTGCAAATTTTCAGGAGAGGGGCCATGAGGCACAGGACTGGAATGTGACTCAAAAGAGACGGCCCACTGGGGAATCACTGGCAGGCAGAGGGCCTTATACCATCGGACGTGTTGAAAGGGGAGGAAAATGGAAAGATTCCTGGGAAGAACATTCTGCTTAAGTCTATTCCCGGTAGGTTCCTAGTGCCTTGTGTGCGTGTTTATAGTTTCAAAATGGGACAGAAATCCCCACCTGTGCTTTGTGCTTATTTCATCAAGCATTCCCAGTTAATCCCGTTTTGCTCTTTTTTTTGCAAAGTGTCCCCACTTTGAGAATCCTACATGATAAATATCTCTGTACAGGGGTGGGGGAATGTGGAAAACTCTATGTAGATCACACTTGTAGTAAAATACATGCATGTACAGTTGTCACATATAAACCATCTTCATGCCAGCCTTTCATTTTCTTCATATATGAAAATGCTGAAGCAACAGGAAGAACTCCAGGTTATACAATTTGAAATATAGTGTCCTGATCAAGGGAAGTCATAAGTTGTGCTCTATTCTGTCTTGGTCAGACCACATCTGGAATACTGGGTCCAGCTCTCAGCACCAGAGTTTAAGAAGGATATTGACAAGCTGGAACGTGTGCAGAGATGTTTAGCCTGGCTAGGAGTAGATGGAGAGGTAGCCATCTTCAAATATCTGAAGGGCTGCCACATGGAGGATGGAGCAAGCTTGTTTTCGCCTGCTCTGGAGGGTAGGATCCGAACCAATATATTCAAAGTACAAAAATAAAAATAAAATTCAGAATAAACATCAGGAAGAACTTTCTGACGATAAGAGCTGTTCAACAGTGGAACAGACTCCCTCGGGAAGTCATGGACTCTCTTTCCTTGGAAGTTTTTATGCAGAGGTTGGATGACTATCTGACATGTACAATCTAGTTGAGATTCTTACACTACAGAGGGTTGGACTAGATGACCCTTGGGGGTTTCTTCCAACTTTATGATTCAATGAGAATAAAATAAAGTATGTGAAAACCTAGATGTTCCGTAGTTTCTGTCATAGCAGTAAGAAGAGTTTTAAATAAGATTGACTTACACAGGCAAAGTTTACTCATTTTTGCAGCACCAAAACTGTTCTGCTGTACCATCAAGCCTTTTCTCCAAGAGGAATATGTGTTTCTTGAAACCCACATGTCTAGATTAGAAAATGCTCTTGCAATGAGGTGATCAGTAGACCAAGAGGTTAGTTCTTATCTGAGCACAAGTTTGTCCATTTGCTTGGGAGTTCAATGAGTTATTCCCAGGGTGTAGGACTGCAGCTTGAGTCACCTCACAGGGAAGACTCTGCCTCTCAATCTGCAATATTGGAATAGTACTACAGGCCTACGATGTGTGGATAGTGTAATGATTACTGGCAAAGGACATTCGCATATTGAAATGCATCATATAAATGTGTCTTACTATTGTCTTAGTCATCATCATCTAATCATGGGGTTTTGGTGGGGGGGGAGGAAGGACAGAGAAAATGTGTTCTATCCAAGGCACAAGGACAGCTACAGCTGATCTTTACAAAGAGATTCAATCATTTCCCAGGCAGTGGTTTAGGAAGCATCAGAGATTACTGCCTTTGAAAGGGAGATAGCAATTCGCTGGCCGTCACCCTACTATTGAATTTTACGTGGAACCAAACCCTCCTACAAAGCCTTCTACTGCCACCCTGTGGTCAAGATGTGCTGTTGCAACTTTGCTTAGAAGCTACCTTATTATATATCAAGTTGTATCCCTTGATCCAACCAACCCAGTATTGTCCACTTCTTGACAGCAGCTCTCCAGGGTTTCAGGGAGGGGACATTCTCTGTCCTACCTGGAAATGTTGGGGATTGAACCTGGGACCTTCCTGCAATGCAAAGCATGTGCTCTTTATCTCGTTAGGCTAAACTGAATGGTGTTACTAATGCCCTTTTCACAGAATCATAGAATTGTAGAGTTGGGAGGGACCACAAGGGTCATCTAGTCCAACCCCCCTATAATTCAGGAATCCTTTTTCCAATGTGAGGCTCGAACCCACAACCCTGAGGGCAAGAGTCTCATGCTCTACCGACTGAGCGATTCCATCTTAAAAATCAACAGAGACGTAATTAGAGCAGAGAAGCAAGAGAGGGTGAGGAGACGTAACCCTTTGCCACCTTCCGTTTCTCCCTCAGAATCTCCCAAGTGGCTCCCCCCCCCCACAGCTTGTAAAATTTCAAGTTCACGTTGGCCCTCTCAAACATGAGTTTTAAGCTGTGAGGAAAGGGTTAAGCACTCTGCTGCCACTGTTTCCCCATTCTAAATTCCACACTGCTAAAACAGTTTTGACAAGCAAGTATTAGGGCACTGTTACAGATGTTAAGCGTGTTAACTCCTAAGACTCCTGCAGCATATTGCATTTTGAAGGTATATGTACAAGTAAACTTTATGAATCAGTTAGCTATATTTTATAATATGCTTTGTAGCTAACGTGGGTCCCCCAAGCAGTTAAAACCCACTGCATGGCTTTAATGTTAGGAATGTATTGGTGTATATAAAAGTGAGCTGGGGGATAGATATTTGCAGCTCATGGATCTTCCTTCAGGTTTTCTGCTTCTTGAATTCCTGTACTGTTCTCACCGTTGGCTGCTTGTTTATTTCTTACTGAAGAAGAAGAAGAAGAGGAGGAGTTTGGATTTGATATCCCGCCTTTCACTCCCTTTAAGGAGTCTCAAAGCGGCTAACATTTTCCTTTCCCTTCCTCCCCCACAACAAACACTCTGTGAGGTGAGTGGGGCTGAGAGACTTCAAAGAAGTGTGACTGGCCCAAGGTCACCCAGCAGCTGCGTGTGGAGGAGCAGAGACGCGAACCCGGTTCCCCAGATTACGAGACTACCGCTCTTAACCACTACACCACACTGGCTCTTTTTGCTGCACCTTTTTGGCTAAAAGCCAGTGTTTAACTTTTCATTAAGTTATAGGTAGGTAGCCATGTTGGTCTGCCAACAAAATAAAAAAAAATCCTTCCAGTAGCACCTTGGAGACCAACCAGGTTTGTTATTGGTATGAGCTTTTGTGTGCATGCACACTTCTTCAGATACACTGTTTCAGTGTACCTGTTTCAGTGTATCTGAAGAAGTGTGCATGCACACGAAAGCTCATACCAATAACAAACTTAGTTGATCTCTAAGGTGCTACTGGAAGGAAATTTTTTTTATTTTGTTTCTTCATTAAGTGTACAGGCTTGTATACAACAAAGTCATTAAGTTCATGTAAGGACTCCAGCTTGTGCAGAAGAACTTCTCCTCCCTCTCCTCTCCTCATGCTCTCCCCACAGATCTGCCCAGAGGGTTGGGGAAACCCACAGAACAGATTCAAACAACCCACAACCAGTATCTGTGATGACTGCACAGCCCTGTGTTTTCAACACAATGATATTTCACTGAGTCTAGCAGAAAATTGAGAAGCTGGTGCGGTTAGTAGATGGGATGTGTGTGTGTGTAGAGAAGTCCTCATATGATTTATGTCACTTCTAGGTGACCCACAAGAAAACCAGAATTGCCCCTGTTCTCTGAGTAACATGTGTACAATGGCAAATATGGTTTTGCCACCACTGAATATATGAAGTGACCCATTCTGGAGGTACTGAATATTCTTCATTTTCAGTAATGCTGCAGGCACCATATAGCCCATGACATCCATGGAACCATTTCACACTAGCACAATGGATGTGCTAACTCAAGAGGAAATTATAATTTCCCAACGACTGTACATTGAGTACTCAGAAAATGCAGCTTTAATTTTCAGCACAGCAGAGCTTCTACAAGGGCAGTTATCTTGATTCTCCATAGCAACCAAGAAGCAACAACAACAGTGCATCTACCTCTCAAAAACAAAATTGAGTATCAGGAGAAACCCCAAGAGCCTGAACTATTTTGAGCTTAAACATGAACTCTGTCTCAGGGATTAATTTGCTTTATGAAACTAACATGTTCATTTTAGTGTGTGTGCATGTACATGTGTGCTTGTGTGTCTGTGCGCATGAGAGAGAGGGAGAGAAGGAAAGAAAGAAAGAGACAGAGTCAGACCTTAGCAGGTCTCTACTAATAAAAAAACACTCCTAAGATTGAGTAAACATGCACAGGATTGTTATGTTTGAGAAAAATCAGGCTATAGTGATATCAAGATATTCAGCTGTGCTTTATTCGGCTGAAGTGCTCAGCTGTCACTACTTTTTTTTAAACCTTTGGATTTAATGAAGATAATAGAAGATGAGACGTGTAAGAGCTCACATTAAGTAGTTTAAGCTAATAGGCACGTCAGGAGTGTCCTCCTACAAGCCAGATAATGAAAAAGAATGATAACTTGCAATACTTTCTGAATACAGTGGTACCTCAGGTTACATACGCTTCAGGTTACAGACTCCGCTAACCCAGAAATAGTGCTTCAGGTTAAGAACTTTGCTTCAGGATGAGAACAGAATTTGTGCTCCGGCGGCGCAGCAGCAGGAGGCCCCATTAGCTAAAGTGGTGCTCCAGGTTAAGAACAGTTTCAGGTTAAGTACAGACCTCCGGAATGAATTAAGTACTTAACCTGAGGTACCACTGTAGTATCTCTCTGCTCAAAGCAAACTTCCACGGAGCTACTGTCCAGGGAACAACTGAGGCAACTGTTCTGCTGTTGTTCAGGCAGGTGGTCTGGCAGATCTGTCAGTGGAAGTCAGGTCTCTTAATTGAAGCAATGACAAATAAGGAAGTTAATAATAATAATATCTTTATTGTCATTGCCCCCTTCGGGGACAACAAAATTACTTGACTGCTCCATAAAAACACTAATTAAACAATACAGTATAATACAGCAAGGGAGATTAGATGACTTTCAAAGTCCGGGCTTCCCATTCAGGGCCGAGATCGCTCTGGAGAAGAAGCTGTTCTTAAGACGGCTTGTTCTTGTCTTCATCGTCCTGTATCTCCGTCCTGATGGCAAGAGCTCGAAGAGACAGTGACCAGGATGCGATGGATCTTTTACTATGTCCAGTGCCTTCCTATGGCACCTTGTGGCATAAATCTGCTCTAAGGTGGAGAGTGGGCAGCCAACAATGCTCTCTGCTGCCTTAACAACCCTGCACAACCCCATCCTGTCCTGGGTAGTACAGCTTCCATACCACACACACAAGCCATAAGTGAGCACGCTCTCAATGGCACAGTGATAGAAGGCAAGCAGCAGTTTCTGCGGAAGATGGTTTTTCCTTAGTATTCTTAGTATTCTTAGTTCTGAAGCGATTAAGAAAGAAATTACTGAAATCTGCTGGAAGCTAGATCTTCTGCTTTCCAGATACCCAGCACAGACTCCCCAAGGGGCTCTATCACAAACCCACACACTTTCGTAATTAGGTCTGAAATATCTGAAGAGAGAGCTTAGGTGGCATCTCTTACACTAAACTACAATCCAAGGGTTATCAGAGTGTGGTGCTGATAATGCCAAGGTTTCAGGTTTGATCCTGAAGCTGCATATTTCTGCATTGCAGGAGGTTGGACTAGATGATCCTCAGGGTCCCTTCCAACTCTGCAATTCTATGATTCCATAATATAAGAAGGGACTTTGTTAAGTTGGGGGCAAAACCCAGCTCCCAACCCTGACTCAGTTGCCCCAATGGGACAAGGGTCTGGTTTGATCCCATAGCTCACCAATGCCACCCACTGCAGATTCTTTACTTTTTCTCCTAACAGTCAAATGTAAGACATTCACTTGAATCAAAGAAACGAAACACCAAGAGACACTTTAATAACAGGGTAATATTGCCAGCCATCCTGTTGTAGATCAGGCCTCTGACTTCTGTGCAGTTAACTGGTTTTTCTTTTCAAAGTTGCTTAATCATCTACTTTTTAACCCGATGATGGCAACTGCCCTTTTGAGATATTGAGCAGAATGTGGTATCTGCAACAATTTTGACTTTTATGTGTTCCCTTTTTACAGAAGTTACTTGTGTTCAAGGAAGCTCACAATATACAGAATGAAAAAGCAGTGACAATGGTACATGAAAAAAATAAACATTTGATTTGATTATTAAATTTCTATACTGCTTAATATATTAAAAATATCACTAAGCGGTATACAAAAAAATGAATCCACAACAGACAACTTGAACAAAATACTACCAAATACAGTTACATATAAAAGTGCTACATTAATACAAAGTTAGTAATTACAAAACCAGATAGTTACATGTAAGTGTGTTACATTAATACAAAGTCACATATATATGTAAGAACCCAGAGGCTGAGAGGAAGGGTGTGTTAGAAGAAGGAATATCTTTCTATCTATCTATCTATCTATCTATCTATCTATCTATCTGTATCATTTTCCTTCTAACACACCCTGCCTCTCAGCCTTTGGGTTCTTATCAAGGGTCCAAACAAACTCTCAGCTCACCCACAAAAATATCACAACAGTTCCTGGAAGAGTTCCTGGAAACAGTGGACATCGCCCTAGTCTCTCACTCTAGACTTGCTTTTGGGGGCAGGCCCAAAAGGCACTTCCTCAGGCTGCCCACAGCTGTGTCCCATTCAGCTGCACTCTCCACACCCAGTTCCCGGTTGAGCAGGTTTGTTGAGTTTCCCAGGGGATCCAAAGGATGGGGAAAAGGCCCCCCTCCACTCAAAGTTCTTTCTTCACCCTCTGTCCTCTCCATCTCCTCCAGCTTCTCCAAACATCAAGTTTGGATTACATTAGCATTAGCATAACATTGCATATCAAGACATACTACCAAATATAGAAAACCTACTGACTTCTGCAAGTCTGACGATGGCCATTTTTCTTTAGGAAAGCAGTCTCAAATTGGGTGTCGGGGCCTTGCAAGGGTGCGTTCACTTAAGTCAGATCTAATAAACAAAAGAGTTAACTTTAATATTTTCTTACCACCACCATCCCAGTACCCTGTCATAACAACACTCCAGAACATGCAATCGTTACCTTCTAACATTGATAATTAGATGGTGGTGGCTTTGTACTTTGGTAGGATGGCATTGGCTTACCTTGGCGGAAGTCTACATTGCTACCAGTTCTGGTGTTCATAATTACTATCATCATCATCATCATCATCATCATCATCATCATCACCATCCAGTCTCCACCAATGATTTGCTTTGAGACTGTGGTCAAGCTGCTTAGATTGTTTGTTCTTCAATTTTCTTTTTTTCTTAATTCTCCATGATTCTCTGCCAGGTACTTCCAACCAATCTTTCTGTATTAATTACCCCCTTTCCTCTTTATCCCCCTTCCTTTGTGTGCTGTGTTTTATTAGATTATAAACCTGTTTGTAGGGGCCAAGCCTTTCAAAATTTTAATATGGTGCCCAGTGTAGTGATCGGCGTGGTATAAGTAATAAATGATGATGATGATGAGCTCAAAGTGCCAATTAATGTTACCCAAGCGTAAGAACCAGAACAAAAGCAACAGGACCATGTCTGTCCATTTGCCAGTATCAGAGAAAAGATAAACCAATTACCTTTTCCTTGGTACAGTACATTGAATTACATTTGGTCTCCTTTCATTGGAAGATGTTCTGTAACTACACATCTGAAAGCCTTCAGTGCAGATTCAATTTACTGTAGACTTGCTTTAATGATTGTGCTCTATAAAAAGGAAATGATAAATACTCCTTAAGAGGTTCAACTCATTGAAGAGCTTTGTTATGGAGCACCATATTTCGGAGAAGGGATAAATGTTAGCATCTTCATTCACACTTTCTTCCACTTTATTTGCATGAAACTGTTTATCTTCATACAGAAGTGGACTGAAGGTCTTGGCCAAAGTTCATGTGTGAAATTCTCTGCTGGAGTGGAGGAAGGCTAATCCATAGAAATGAGGGAATTCTTTCTTAATTTGTCATGAGGATTATTATGCTCCTATCTCTACTGTTTTCATGTTATCTTGAAAGAAGGGCCACTTCAGAGTTGCAAACTAGAGGTGACATTAAAAGCATTTAACATGCACATTTAAAAAAAAATGCAAACAGCAGCCAGGGGAATAAGAGCTATAGATTGGGATTGCAACAGGGAGAGGGATGCTGGCCTGCTGCAATTGTGCTATTTTCCTCTCAGTGCTTTGCATGAGTTATGTTTGTCAAGAGCTCATCCGGGAGGAAAGAGTTCAATGCCCCTTCCTATTACATCCCTCATAAT